GACAAACCCTTTTCCTTGCTGGGACAGGCTAACTAGCGCAGGAGTTGGGCGACCTCTTTGCACAATATCCAGCTTTTCGTGGAAGGCCCGTCTTGCAAGTTGTGTGGAAAGTAGTTCTGCAACCAGATCAACGTCTTCTCCTTCGTGCATTTTGAGTTAAAATGCGAGTGATAGCTCTAGCACACGCTAATCCAATCTTTTTTTTTTTTTAAATCTTTATTGAACAAGTCAGGATACAATTCTCAGGAAACAGAAAAGGCGCTAATCCAATCACCGAACGCGCATGGCCAGTCTCGACGTAAGGCCTTCTAGCTGGCCCTAGTACGCAGATTGGCTATTGAAACCTGACTGTGCCCATTCACTTACAGCACACAGGGGCCTGCTCTGTTTAACCTGAATGCCCCGAGCAAGTTTAATTAACCTGGCAACACAAGCTAGATGAAATATGATTGGTTAAAAAACTCTACCATAATAAATAAGTTATTTTTCGAGTGGCTTTCAATGTTATTTAAAATAACATTGAAAGCCACTCGACTAAGTGGAAATAATATGACGTAAAGAATACAGAGAATAATTTTGTTTACATATTTATGAAAATAAAATAACAAATTAATGTTATTCTCAGAAAAGTAAATTTACTTTTCTGAGAATGTTTAGGCCAGCAGAGAAGGCCTTGCTGGCCCTGAGGGTCCGCCACTGAACGTGCAGATTTTTTTTTTTTTTTTTTTTTGCGGGAGGCGGTCTAAATGGCGCTTTGAGTATTTAAGGTTGCTGATCCCTGGGGGGAAGTGCGTGGTCCTGAGGCACCCCAATAGTACTGATGAAAAATGGTGGTCCTCTCCAGAATTGAAGTTGCTCATCCCTGACTTACAGTATGGGTTCTTTGTCTGCTTTTTTTTAATTTCTGCTCGTCATTGAAAATATTCGCCCTTTTTCTGTATTTTCTATCATCTGTTTTTTTCCATTGACCATTTTCTTTTACAGCAGCAGTTTCCAACTTTTGTAAACTACTTGCAAACCAACATGCAATGTACAGCAGATATCTATTTTAGATTTACTGCACTCGAGACTGTAAATACGATCAGTTAAAGAAATGAAATAAGTACACTTGCACTTGTTTTTACCAAATGGTTCAAAATGTAAACAGCTTAGACTTTTTTGCTTACATAACTCTAACCAGATTTAATTTGATACATATTCTGTGAACGAAAGAGTGATAGTCAAAAATGAAAACTAGTGATTTCCTGAAGAAAAAGAGGTATCTGGGTTCAAATATCTCTCAAACTTCGAGTAATTTAATTCCAAGACACATTTACATCTCAGTACTGTAAATTAAAGTTGTTTTTTTTCCCATCCATGTTCCAAACATCCACAGGGTTGTGGTTACATGGTTGTTGGGAGCTTTTGTCGTCTGTTCTTTGCAGGGATCCCGGTCCTCTCAAACTCAATTTTTTCCTGGATGTATTCCTGCTTACACATCTGAAAAAAGTCAGGGTCCTTGTAGCTGGTGAGAGACAAAAGGTAAAAGTAACCAATAATATATTCATGACAAAGTCATCCCTCCAATGGTGGTTACACGGCCCTTCCACTGAAACTTGAAGACAAGCATGTGGAGCAGTCACCACGCTGTGACAAGAGACCACAAAAAGCACTCACTGTTGTGTCAAGCAGTCTTTCAGGGCAGCGTTCTCCTCTCGACACTTGAACACCATGAAGAAGCCTGAATCTTTGCAACAGTGGTTGAAAGCTGAACAGAAGAAAAGTGCAGGACATTAGAGCTAAACAGGGCTGGACACAGCCAAAGGAAACAAGCCGACTCCCCTTTGTAGTTCATTTGATTTGAATCATGAGTAGAGGAAAGACTGAGATTGTCCTCATTCTAACCAGGCTCATTTATGGAGGTTACAATGGGGGGTGTACTCCGCCAACTGCCCGAAGACAGCTGGGATGGGCTCCAGCACGCCTGTGTCCCTCGTGAGGATGAAGCGAATCAGATGATGGATGGACAATGTTTTGTTGCTGCGTTCTTGTAAATCAGTCCATGAAACATAGCTTTGCATTCCACCTATAAACTTGACCGAATTAGAGTTCTATTTTTGATTTTTTTACACACACACACACACACACACACACACACACACACACACACACACACATATATATATTAGAGTGGTTAGCTCGTCGACCTCACAGTGCAGAGGTCCTGTGTGGAGTTTGCATGTTCTCCCCGTGCCTGCGTGGGTTTTCTTCGGGTATTCCGTTTTCCTCCCACATTCCAAAAACATGCATGGCAGGCTGATTGAACACTCGAAATTGTCACTAGATGTGAGTGTGACAGTGGATGGTTGTTCGTCTCTGTGTGCCCTGCGATTGGCTCGCAACCGGTTCAGGGTGTTCCCCACCTACTGCCCAAAGAGAGGTGGGATAGGCTCCAGCAGGCCCCACGACCCTTGTGAGGATAAAAGCGGATCAGAGGAAAAAAAAAAAAGGATTAAAAAAAAAATGAAATCAAATATCATGCGCACACACACACACACACACACACACACACACACACACAGAGTTCATATTTAATCAAAGTAGCTCTTCATATGCTGTACTTTCTGATGCAAAATTTCCCAAAAATTCAATTTCCAATGTGCCAGTACCTCAATGTGACAGTACCCCAATGTTGCCATGGCCGCGAGGGATTTTTTTTTGGCTGCTCGCAGCTCTAGCACATACGCCACACAGTGCAGAGGAGCAGGGTTCGATCCCGGCTGCAGCCTTCCTGTATGGAGTTTGCATGTTCTCTCCGTGCCTACGTGGGTTTTCTCCGAGTACTCTGATTTCCTCCCACATTCCAAAAACATGCATGGCAGACAAATGGAACATTCTAAATTGTCCCGAGGTGTGAGTGTGAGCGCGAATGGTTGATTTTCTATGTGTGCCCTGCAATTGGCTGGCAACCAGTTCAGTGTGTCCCCCGCCTCCTGCCCAAAGACAGCCGGGACGGCCTCCAGCATGCCCGCGACCCTCGTGAGGATAAGTGGATTAGAAAATGGATAGGATGTACGAAACCCCCTATTAACCTAAAAATAGGCATATGGTTAAGCAGTGAATCTTTCATCCATACCATTGTTTCGGTAGCCTATCTCTGATTTGCATTGCAACAGTAATGAAGCCGTGCACTTCGCAACTTGCTTTGATTTTGGAGCAGGGTAGTTGTGGGCGATGTGTCCTGGTACCCTACAACAATGACTTGAGAGTGAGTTGTCCCAACCCGCAGCGTCCTCCCTGAGTCTACACAGACACACACATAACACCTACCGAGATTTTGTGTACATTTGGAAGAATAAATCTTCCGTGTCATGCATAAAATGCAATTTTAACTTTCCAAAAAAACACTATGTTGTACAATGTACTGTACTACATGCTATCTGAAGGCTGCAATTCAAAGGTTAAAAGCTAGCAATAAAAGGATGATTATTAATTGATCTCATAGGCAGCATACCACAAGAGGGAAAAAGCAGCTCATTGGCAAACTTTTTCATCAGGTTGAAAAAAAAACAATCTCTATATCCTCTAAACAAGCAATATTTTAATTACCTTTCATCAGTGAAATGAGTATGGTTATCGCAGAGGCACTTTCATCAGGATGCATCTTTGAAACCAAACCAATTTAGAAGAGCAGAACAGTGAGACTAATCTAATCAACCAGTGCCTCTCCTGCATCCCATGGTACAAATAGAGGATTTCCTCTCTCCTCAGCAGCTTAACAAGCAGTCAAATAAAAAAAGGCAGTCTGCTTCTCAAGAAACGCCTCATCTCACCGTCACTTGTGAAAGGTTGCACGTGCAATGCTGGGCAGTTAAAAAGCAGAAGCAATCGGCTTATATTTTGAGTCGACTTAGAGCACCACAGGATGATCCGTTTGAATCTAACACTTATTTAGCCACAGATAAACAAATATGTGACTAGAAAATGAAATGAGAGCGAGCATGCTTGTTTCTTGTCTTGTACCAACAAGCAGATAAAGGTGACTCTATTCCAATGTGACGAATTATTAAATATTATATGCTATATGTTAATGTGGTCCAAAATGAGCAGAAATAAAAGGTTTTGAATTGTTAGAACTTAATGACTCTTTCTTACAGCTGCCCCCCCCCCCGCCCCCCGGGAAGAGCTGGCCTTAGTAGCTAAGGCGTAGAAGAAAAAGTAGTGTGTTTCCCGTAACCCGACCGACCGAGAATTTCTACGTCGAAAAAAAAAATTACGGTCCGCATTTTTTTCAAACAACCCTCTACATTTTTGTGTAGAGGGTGTACATCGGTGCAAACTCTGGCCATATTCACGTTGAGCGCGTGCGTCGTTTGCCCTGTCATCTGTCAACAAAATTGAAACATGGCGGCGGCCGCCGTCGCCGCCCGGCGCGTTTTCTGTGTTACAGTCGCGTGCTCGCACCGTAATGTTAAGAAAATAGCATCCACTGATGTGTCGAAAAAATAAAGCGAACTATTTGATGAACACCACGGGCCGAGTAAAAACCGAGGGCGGAGGAGGACGGAGGAGGACGGCGGAGGCGGCGGCGCATCCCGGCCCCCGAGTCCGCAGTGGGGAGAAAACTAAATAGGCGGAGGCAGTGCCGGCTGCGGAGCGGCGGGTTCAATGTCTTCTTGTTTTATGTTTTATGGTTATTTTGTTTAAATTTTTTATGGGGAAAAAAAAAGATTTAAAAAAAAAAAAACTTTGTCCGACCTACCGACCCTATGCTGAAATTTCTTGTTACCAGAAACACACTATCTTTTTTGTTTGGCCGAAGAAGAAGGAAGTCTGGGCTTCCTTACTTACACCGCCGCCCCAGCAACCCGAGTCCGGTAGGTAGAAGATGGGTTGATGGAGAACCTCACCAGTAGAACCGTCTAAAAAGCGAACTGGAAACAAAAGTACATCTGCATGGACCACAAACAGGAAAAGATACATTAGCTCCTCTTAACTTTAGTTAAGAGGAGCTAATGTTAGTTATTGGCATACTCTATATGTACAATCAAACAAAAATGGGATTTGAAATTTAAAAATATATACGTCATTTACTTTGGACACATTGCAAATTGTGAGTTGACCATGTAGCATTGGCGCTTCAAATCCCCCCAAAAATCAATGAATTACTAGCCACTATTACAAGGATGTGAAAAACTTAGAATGGTGTTTTGTTTAATTAGCTAAGCTATTTTTGACATGACTTGTACAGTAAACAAACAGGAACACTACTGTACAAGAAAACAATCACATTAAGTTATGAAAAATTATTTTAATTCCCAACTATGAGGAATGTAATATGTACTTCAAGCATCCAAAGCATGCCTAATGTAGTAGAAGTTACTGTTTACTCTATTTCAAGGACGTGAACTTGGGATAGAAATTGTCTGCTTTCCCAGTCCTGCTTATATGTGATCACAATGTAGTTTCTTGAGGAGTAAAAAAAAAGTTACAACTGATAACTCAGGGAGCCGTTTATGTGTTCCATTTCGACGACCAGCAACAATGAATAGAATCATGTTTAACCAGGTTACGTTGTCTGGCTGTGGCAGCTAGCTAGCTAGCTGCTACAATTTACTGTAAATTATACTTGTCATTGTCTGAGTGATTATGCTAACTGTAATGGTGAGACCAAAACACCGGATAAACGACAGATCAATGCTTGCTTTTAAGACAGATACAAGATAAAACGAAGACCGAAAAGTTAAGAATAAACATAGGAATTTCACAGTGTTGATTGGAGCCTGGGTCCACAGCTTTGTTTTTCCCCATGAGGACAGATGTTGTCACACCCTCATTTTAAGCTGACTGATGAACATTGTCACAGCATCATTCCAGTTGGACAAATGAAAAGGCTTGGAACATTGGTTCAAGAAGAGGAACTGCCCAGAAAACCCAAAGTTGATTGATTCATCCATCTATCCATCCATTATCTGAACCGCTTTTTCCTCACAAAGGTCGCGGGCGTGCTGGAGCCCATCCCAGCTGACCTCAAGCAGTCGGCGGGGTTCACCCTGAACTGGTGCCCAGCCAATCTCAGGGCATACATCGACGAACAACCAGGCGCGCTCACACTCACACCTAGGGACAATTTGGAGTGTTCCATTAAGATATGATAATATAAGATATCCTTTATTTGTCCCACACTGGGGAAATTTACAGTCTACAGCAGCAAGATTGTGGGTAGAAAGAAGAAAGAAGAAAAACAAAGTGTTTGCATTCACAAAATAAATGTTAACCTGTCATGCATGTTTTTGGAATCTGGGAGGAAACCGGAGTACCTAGAGAAAACCCACGCAGGCATGGGGTGACTCCACATGCAAACTCCACACAGGAAGGTTTGAGCCAGAATCAAACCCTGCACCTCTGCAGCGTGAAGCGTACATGCTAACCAGTCAACAACCGTGCCACACACACACACACACACACACACACACACATACATACATACATACATATATATATATATATATATATATATATATATCCATCCATCTATCTATCATATATATATATATATATATGCGAACGCACACACACAAGCAAGTTAAATTTTATTTTTCAAACGTTAAAAACGGTTTTCACAAAAAGCCATTAAAACACTATCCCTGAAACATCTATTATACAGCAGGGTTTTGCTGTACTAAAAGAGGTAAAGTTTAAAACCTATGGTAGAGGTATGCTGACAACTCTGCAGCTGCCCTTGGTGGGCACATCGGAAACTGCCACCGCACATAACCATGTACCTATTGTCAGTATTTCATTCCTTAGATGGGCAGATTGGCATGTAGCATGTGTTAAAATTGGTGAGTAGGTGCAGTTGCCATTGAAGCAAGAGGGCTTTACGTTATCCGAATGTTCAGCTAATGTAAACGTGGTCTTTTCACACCTGCTGCAAATGTAGACAACAAATGGAGAGGCTACAGTTTTTGGGTCGACACTTCGCTTTGCAGTAGATTAGACTTGAAACGTGTTCAACGCGCATACGCACGCGCACAAGCACACAAACCTTCAACTCTGTCAGCGCAGCGTTCTTTGGCTTTCTCCCTCATCATTTTGGGGATGAGCACGTCCGTCTCCACGTGTCTTAAGTGAATTTCCTCTGAAACAGGTCACAAAAGACAATGGACACAAAAGATGAATTACAAAGTTTGCTGCTGCTAGCGACATTTTGTGCGAGTTCGTATTGTTTTCACAATAGCCACTTATTAACTTCATTCCATACGCCGCTCCGTTAAACTGTGGGATTTGTGCGACACTTTATCGGTTATCCTGATTTGATATAGCAACGTAGATTGCCACACGGACTACCATTTGTGGGATACAAGTCGCTGCATACGCCCTTACATATGGGGAAACGCAAATATAAACGTAAATGGAGCAGGACTGCGACCTTAGTTGACTAGCCCGGTCTAGACAAATATGTCGTGCGAATGATGGCAGGTATAAAATGCCAAAATAATTGAATACCCGCTTGTGTTGCTTCCATAGTAGTATAGCCGCTTATAACACAATTACAATACAGGACTCTACCAACGTGAGCTGCCCTTCATATCGAGAATTACAGAACGTATATGTCTGCTGGAGCGCTTAAGTACTTCCGCTAACGTAGTTGTGACGAATCATATTATGAGATTTGCAGAGACTTGGGAGCAAGAGTGGGCGTGCCAAATGAAGCCCAGATTCGGAGCGCGAGTCGTTTGCAAGAAAATCACACTGTGGTCAGGCCATTTAACACACGGAAACACCAAATCAAGACAGCCGCCACAGCGATTGCTACTGTGCATTACGGTAATCTGCTTCCAGTGAGCAGCGTCGGCCACCTTCAAAATAAAACAAACACCTAATCCTCTTCCGTAGTACTTCCGTAACATCGTGATTTGGATTTAAAATACTGTAATGTTTTAGAATAATTTATCTGTGGTCAGGAAACCAATCCACCTAGAGAGAATGCAAACTTTCTCAGGATTGCACCAAGAAACGTTCTGAAGTTGAGATAGAAAGAGAAGCTATGTTAACACTGCATCATTGTGTGAAATTATACCTGATTTTAAATAAAAAATTGAAAATTAAATTTTTGATACACCTTAAACCTCTACAGTTCTTGGGCCCATGAGGACACACAGGTATCCAACCAAAGTACTTACATCAGGCTCCGATGTTGCATTTCAAAATACTGTAAAAGGCTTCTGAAATCTGAATTTTTGACCTTTACACCTGATTTAAAAAAAAAAATCTAGAAAAATGATCTTGCAACCATATTTCTAGGGATTACTAGACCACGGTACCAGGTAGCCCGCAAGGGGCCCACCAGTGATGGGACATTGTGATCTAGGAATGTTGTCGAAATTATCATTTAAAAATGCGAACACTGGCATAGATTTATGAAAAAAGTAAGTGTTGCATATGTTTCCTAATTATTGTGAGACATCATTAACTGATCAGTGTCTGAAATTGAATATCATGTAGTGTATCATCACAGACCCTCTTCCTTCTGTGCTTTTATTTTGCTGAGTCCACTTCCAGGGACCTTCTGTGTCTGTTTCCCTTTCATTACCAGGCTGGGCCGGAGGGTGCTCCGACACCTGCAGCTGATCAGCAATCACCTCCAGCGTTTAAGAGCTCTGCTGCTCTGTAAGCGGGTGCCAGATGATTCTCGCATTTGAGTGGTATCTAGGCCATTGCTCGTGCACACGCTTGCCGTTTTTGTATTTTTGTGCATACTCAATTGGTCTTGTTTGTCTCGTTCCAGTGCCTGCCTCCCAGCCCAGCCTGGCTCCACATTTTCCTCCCCGGACCATTTGACCCTGCACCCTTCCTTCCCGCATCTCCTTCGCTTTTGGCTCCTCAGCCACCATTACCTTTGTTGACCGTAACAGATCATTCATTATTAATAATAACACATGCTATGATTATTAAAGGTAATTTGAAATTATTTGTGCTTTCAGACATATATCAAATCGATAGCCCTTTGCACTAATCTGTGCACAAAAAATAGCTCTCACTCTCAAAAGGGTTGGTGACCTCTGCTCTAAACCAATCGACTGAGTCTTGGGTCTACTCAAGGTTTCAACCCAAGAGGAAGTTTTGCCTTGTCTCTGTCGCCTTGCACTTATTTATGTGGGGTTGGTCTTTTATTAATTAAAGAGTGTGGTTTTAGACCTGCTCCATGGGCACTGTGCATTGGGCACAATTAATATAAAAGTGGAATGTAAAGTATTTGAAGAAGAATGAAAGGCTTGATGAAAAATAATACATATACAAATTTGTGTCAGACTTTACATAAAAAAAGAAAGAAAGATAAAAAAAAAAAATCTCTGATAAAGACAACTTATTTTCCTCATGTCCACAATCACCAAAATGCTCTTCACAGATGAGACACCAATAAAATAAGAAATAAACAAAGTATTTTATTATTCACTCGCTGAAAGAGATTTCGTAAAAAAAGAAAAAAAAAACCCACGACTCAAAAATAATGCCTTTCAATACACTGGTCTCATTGCATGTGTGACGTGAGGCTCACAGGAAGTGGTTGTTGGTTTTCTGTAAGATTATTGTAAGGATATGGGTGTCTGAGGAGAGGAAGTCTACGCTTCCCAGTTAAAGCTGCTGTCGCCACGACATGACCCTGGATGCGCAGAAAAAAACGGCTAGCTGGATGAATGAAATCAAAGCTGTTTATCAAGAAGAGGAATGTTTAACAGCACGATCATCAGATGGTAGTGATAGTCTCTGATGATTACTACTTAAATGTACTTTATTCTAACAGGCTACAGTAGATCTGGATGAAAGTAGTGTAATTTTGTTGGAGTTCCAACATGGTCCAGTGCAGGGGTGCCCATGACATCGATCGCGATCAACCGGTTCCTCGCGGACAAGTCCCAAGTCGTATCGAGTAAAAAAAAAAAAAAAAAAAAAAACATTTGTGTGTCTCTGTGCTTGATATTTTTTGTGCTAATGCACACTGCACCCTAAGGCCAAACAAAATAGATAGTGTGTTTCCGGTAACATGAAATTTCAGCATAGGGTCCTGATAATATTCCACCTGAGTTCTTGAAATACTGTGGCCCAAAATTCATGAACTGGCTATGCAAATACCTCTCAGCCTGTATGAAGCACCAGTCTATACCTAAGATCTGGCGGAAAGCTACTGTGGTTTCCCTGCTGAAACCACATAAACCTCCCAATGACCCAAGGAGCTACTGCCCTATCTCACTGCTATGTGTTCCGTATAAGATCTTGGAACGACTTCTCCTGACCAGACTTGACTCAGTGGTTGACCCCCAGTTGCCTAAAGAACAAGCTGGCTTCCGACATGGACACTGTACCACCCAGCAAATAATCAAGCTGACCAGTAATATTGAAGATAGCTTCGAGAAGGGAAACAAGGCTGGAGTTATCTTGGTTGACCTAACTGCGGCATATGACACTGTATGGCATCAAGACCTGATACTGAAGCTTCTCCAGATGATTCCGGACAAGCAAATGTTACGCTTCCTGAGCAATATTCTGGCAAACCGAAATTTTGTGCTCAAGACCAGCGATGGACAATGCAGTCGACCCCGCCGCTTGAGAAATGGAGTACCACAGGGATCATGCCTCTCGCCTATGCTCTTTAACATCTATATCAGCGATGTGCCCAAAACCAAGTCTCATCAATATGGGTATGCTGACGATCTTGCACTATGCTACTCCCACAAAAGCTGGAGCACGGTGGAAAAATCACTAACTGCTGATATGGCACTGATATCGGAATACCTGAGAACATGGAGACTTAAATTGAGCTTGGCAAAGA